TTTTGCAAGTCATTTGGTAGAGATTTTGCTGACAAACTCGGAGAGAGACCCAATGGGTAAGATAGCATTTTGCTTCCACGAGACCTCAAATTAATGATGAAGTCCAAGCTTTCTTCATGAAGGCCAAGGCCTAACACTTTGCGCTTACCTAGCCACAGGGCATGAATAGAACAGCAAAATGCAGAACTGGCCGAGTGAGAGACCTGTGTGTCTGTAAGAGCCGCTATTGCTTATTTCTACGCAACTGCTCTTGGACTCTCCAACCTCCTCCCTCCCTTCCCCTCATTTTTGGTCTCAATGGGGAATGACTGCAGATGTGATCGGGCTGTACAGCCAGCTTTGAAGGTCTCTAGTTTGGATAAATGTCATGCGCTTTAGTCGAAGAGACAAATAAATGGCTCTTCGGAATCTCAGCTTGAGGATGACTGAGGAGCTCACTTCCCCCAGAGATCCAGGCCACCAAAAACTGGGTAGCCCTCCGTCAGCACAGGCGACCACGCCACTTCAACAAGAAATATGACAGTGGCCTCTCTGAGCTGATGAGCGCAGCACTGTCCCCCTTCTCTTTATTAGAAACAACATCACCCAAAACTTGCGGAGCATCCTGCATCCCTGACCCTTCCAAATGGCAGAACAGGGGTGAAGAGGACCTGAAGCCAAACCGCCTGGTTCAGACTCCAGCTCCGTTCACGTCTGGCGGCTGGACCCTGGCCAGATTAAAGTCTCCAGCTTTCTGTTTCTTTATCTATAAAATGGGGATAAAAGTGGTCACGGGTGGTACATGAGCTAGACAATTCAAATAGGACTTCCGAGCGCAGGTCACACGTGAAGCCACTGCTGTCGTGATCTGCCTGGCTCTGTTTTCCCTCCATCAATTTTGTCTGCCTGGAAAAGTGTCAGATTTGCCAAGGTTTTCTCTCTGCCTCGTGGGTCTGGTCTAACGGTCTCCAGCGAAACTTGTAGAAGGTTCTTCCATCTCCCTTCCCAGGGGAAAAGTAGACATGGACAATAATAGAGGAATAAGTCGAGAGCAGTTCGCCCCCCAAGCCAAGGCAGGATCAGACCGATGTGACCAGGCAGAGAAAGGGCAAGAGAGTCTCAGAGGAAGAAGAACTCTTACCTCCTAAAATCTCCAAATATTAGTTAATGAAAAACGTCAATCTATTTATCAGCCAAAAGCTTAACAAGAAACCGAAAGAGGGTTCTTCAGGACCTGGTTTCCTCTCTACCCTTCCTCCCTCCCCTCTTAGAGGTTCTAATGTTCAGCCATTGACCAAAATGCAAATGAAAAAGAAAATGATGAGGGAGAATGCATGGTCCAGGCTGAGAAGCCAGAAGCCAGCTTTATGCATAAAAGTTCTGTTTTCTGGATCTGCCACAGAGATATTTTAATCTCAGGGAAAATGGGCAAATGACTGGAACCTTTATAGACAGCCTCATGAGAAGATGGTTACACACAGACTCCACGGTTAGAACTTTCTAGAACTTGTTTCCCTTACCTTTCTACCGCCACATTCGCCTCCGTTCTCCTAATAACTACACCACACACCAGGATGCATTTGGATCCTTTGTTCCAAATTCAGTCTCCAGTCATCTTTCTCCTGCTCTCTTCCTTTCCTGGTTTCCAGAAAAATGTATCTGGTAGCCCACCGGAGACATACGCTGGGGGAATGCACGTCTTATGGATCAACCTGTCCCTTCTAGTACAGCACCAATAATTCAGACAGCTGGGCGACCCATGCAAATTGTAAACTATCAAGGCCAGAAGTAAGCTCATCTCTATTTTAAAAAACCAATACTTAGCCTCTTTTCTACTGAAGAGTCCCCTTTCACTTCTCTGAGAAGAGCATGTTTCAAAACTGCTTCTTTAAAAATGTGTAATTCCCCGGAGTCCCTCTAAGGAAAAAAAAAAAATCTGCTGTGCAAAGGAGAAGGAAAAAGGAAAGAATTCATATTTATTCATTTCTAAAAGTTGGAGTGGTAATTTAAATCTTCACACCCTTTTTGATCCTATTATATTTTTAATGGCAGAAGCTCCCGGCGAGGGCTTGAGTGGGATGTAACAGAAGTTTTAACATTCAGGGAAGCAGAGGAACTTGCCGCGCGGTTTGTGTGGCTGAATGAGAAATGACCCAGCTCAGCCCTGCTCGGGGCAACAGGTCGCTTCGCCTGTACTGGATTTGGGTCAAACAGCAAAACTTCAGATCGGAAAATATCTGCATCATTTTGTTTGGCAAAGAAGTGGGTTTTGATACCGGTCATCCAACCTGATCAAAGGTACCATTTCCAGAGCAAGAGAACTGTTTCCTGGACTCAAAGTAGCTTGAGGGTGACTGCCGGGTCTAAACAAATTTCGGCCCCACTCCCTGGGCCCCAGACCCTTTGAATGGGTGTCATCTAATTAGAACAAATAAAGTCAGTTCAGGAAAAACGTCCTTTTCTTCCCTCATCCGTTTTGTTTCTAGGTATGTGTACAACAAATTGACTCCTTAGTCCTGTTACGAAGCTCTGGGAACATTTCCCTGAAGCACTGTCTTCACTCAAGCTCATTTAAATTAGAATGTCTGCATTAAAAGTTAATGAGAAAAAAATATGAATGAGGTTGTAGGAGAAGGTTAAAAGGATTTGTGTGAGGAGGAGGGCGGGGCTTGACTCAGTGAAAGAGTGCAGGTCATCACTATTTCGCACAGAACACCCTTTCCATCCCGTCTCCACGGCCCCAGCATCTGGGCACAGGAAGGCACCTCACTCACGGAGGAGTCGGAAACAGCCTTCCTATACGGTGGTGCCTTGAGGGCAAAAAAGGGAAGGAAAAATTCCCAGACAGCAAACAGAGCCCGTGACACAGACAACCACAAGGAATGTAAATAAAATATTATTACAAGCAACTCACTCACCACGTCACCCTCGACAACCCGCTCCTTCAGGGGCAAAAAGTAAAAACATACGTAAACTGTGTTTCAAAGAAGAGCCGACTGATTACTGGGGAAGAAGCCATGACTACGAAGAAGATTTTTCTCCCTGTGGCTCACTTTTAAAATCACAAAGCTCGAAGCATACTTTGAAAAGAGAACCAGGCCTGTCTGCTAATTTAAATTTGGGGAGCAAGAAGTGAAGCCCCGTGTCGATAAGTACCTTCTAAGGGTGACTCGGCTGGTAGTCAATGATAAGCCATGTTTACCTGAGCTTCCAAAAGCCAAAACACCCTGCTCTTTCAATATGACATTGCGAAATAAAAATTTTTAAAAATGCATTGCAAAGGCATACAGTAATAAACCAGGCGCATGCCAAAAGCACATGTGCACATTTCACACAAGAGCCAGGAAGACGTTTCTAGCAAGAAACGATCGCCATGCTGAACACAAGCCAGAGCAAGCGCCTGCCACGGGTCACGTGCTCTGGAGCACACAGGAGTCCCTACATAAAACAGGCCGGTAGAAATAACTTCAAGAGACAAAAATTCACAAACTCTGCAGAGGCACGGATTCCCAGGCCATAAAAGCCACAGCCAGGAATTCTGGCCTCATCTCTCTAAGGACTTCCAAGAGCTCCCCTTCTCTTGGTTCGAGGAACTCTCTACCCACCGCTCAGTTACTCCTTTCTTTAGAATAAATTCACGCCCTGAGCTGAAGGAAAAATGCACGTGGACGACTGGTATGTGATGCCACTGTTGAAATGCATTTACATCACTTGTGGCCAATCATCCAGAGCCCGATGTTGATCCTCTGAACAAGAAAAGGAGGGAGTTGGGAGGCTGGTCACCCATCTCCTTATCTTCAGAGCCAAAGATCTCTTTTCTTGTTCAGTCTGTTTGAGACCCTAAGGGATAGGCCTAGAGTCTCAGGCTCTTACTATGAACCCACTTCCCAAAACTGCAGGCCCAGGGAGGCTTGGAAAGGGACTGTAGAGCGTCTATTTCTGCTAAAAGCAATGCCCTCTGTAGGTTAGTTCTCAGTATGAAAACTCATGGGCAAAGGTTAGCCTCTCCCAGCATGAGATACAATCTGTGTTTGGCCCTTTGAATTTTCATTGACAAACCTCCCAAGCCAGCCAGGACTCCTGGCCTCCACAGTCCTGAGTCTTCAGACGCATTCAGCCTCCAACAGTGCTGTATTTTACCACTTAAACACTTCTTCAAAGTTTACTACGAAACAATGTGGCTCCGAGCCTGCCAAAAGTTTAACTGCAGGATTCCGTGGATTTTATCTGGCAGAGTAGCTGCCCTCCCTCCTTAGAATATTTCTGAGAGAAGGCAGTCAGCAAATCCTGCAGTCAGGGTGATTCCAGGGTCCCAGGTGTCACTGAATGAGCCCCTCTCTGAAAACGCCCTTTTCTTACTTTGACCCCCTTCCCATCTTGCGAGCTTCGGAATCCAAATTAAACGCAGTCTGGCATTTCAGTAGACGGCAGTGAAAAACTTCAGATGGGATGACCCAGGGCATAACTATTCCTGGCTGCACTGAACTTTTGATTTTCAAATAACTGGGGGAACTTGGGGTTCAGAGGAGATGAGGGGAGAGAGCCAACGAATAGGAAAAAATAAAATAAGTGGCATAGTATGACCAAGCCAAACCAAGCCTGATATTTCCAAATTATATTGGCCATCAGGTGCTTTCACAAATCATTTGTTCTGTCTTTCCTGGAGACAAAAAGAAAAAAATAATCTGGATGCAAAAATCCTAAGCCCAGACCAGTAAACTGTATGGAATGCAATTTAAATTGCTGGTCAGAAAGTCTAACCTTGTAGATACTAACAAGCACACTAACCCCCAAGCCAAAAGTTGTGAAGCCTGAAGCAATGCATTCGTCCATTTCATCACCCCCTCACCCCTGCCGGGTGCCCGGCGCTGGGCTATGCCGACAGCATCAGGCTCTAATCCTTCTGCTCTACACGATCGCTTTGGGCAAATGCGTGCAAGTGGTCAGGGGCGTCAGCTCCGCTCCTCGGGTTCGCGCACCTCCTCCTCCAGGCTGGCCCCCGGCCTCCCTGTGCTCCTTACCTGCAGGCGCTCCGTGGCCGGCTGCCACATCTTCCAGCCGCGGGGTTTGGTAGAGGAGACGCCGGCGGGACT